TTGTCTGTCCTATCTCTCTGTGCCCAGGGTATTCAGCCAGAGGTGAGCAATCTCTGTCTTACTTATTTTATGCCTTGACACATCCTGAGGCACTGTCAAAGAAGTTCACATCTCTGCCAGATATGATTTCTTCAATTCCTGCCCCAAATCATCATTCAGTAGGAATTTAGTTAATCGAATCATCCACTCTAGTGAAAAGAAAAGAGCGGGGACTGTGGCCTCACAGGAACCAGTTCTGTGAGGGAAGGAGGGCCAGAAAAGGCCCTGATGTGCATGGTGTGCTTGCTGGTGCTCCAGGCACTGTTCGAGGTACTGAAGTGGCACCCCCTTTCTCCACAGAAAAGTCTTAACTGGGTTTCTCCAGAAATATTCACCATGGCTGATTTTAGACTGTCAGCAAGAGTCTCTGCAAAAGAGTCCAATGTAGATAAACTTCCTATTTTCGAGTCGCCCTGTTTACTTGGCCACTGGCCGAGAAGATACTGGCACTCCAGGTGCTGGACACCCACTTACTAGTTTTTCACAAAAACGTATAGTAGTTTGTAGAAATGTGCAAACAAGGCCTCTGGCCTTGAGCTGGGCTTCACAGAGATGTCTACATTTTTAAGATGAGTTATCAGCTGGGCTCCATGGTAACAGCTGGCAAGGGGAGGAAGGAAAGGGGAGGAAAAACTCCCCCCTTCTCAAGGTGCTGTCCTTGAAAGGTTAACTTGCCCAAAACAGTGAAAGAAAAAGCTGCTTTCATGTGAACTTCTGCAGACTCTGAACTTCTGAGCCCCTCCCCTTACATGCTGGGTAGAAAACTCTGAAACTACCTGAATTTGGGGTTCAGGAGATTCATTGATTACAGCAAAAGCTGTGCCCTCTGAACCTGGCTGCAGCCAAATAAAACTGTTTCCTGCTATCTTCAGTGCCTTGCCTCATCTTTCCTTACAACAAACAGTTCCTGATGCACACTCTCTTACCCATCCTCTCCCCTTAACCCTCAAAGGTAGTTATCATTAACCTAAATAATAGGTTTATAGAAAAAAAATCAATAAGTTCAGAAAGAGGCTAAATAACTTGTCTAAGGCCGCACGCCTAGAAAAGAAGGTAGAACTCAATTTATTTCTGCCCAAAGCTATGTGACTTTTTTCACTATATAATACTTCTTGACTGTGATATTGTGATAGAATAAGAAATATATACCTGGCCTCTGTCCTGGTGCTGGCACAGAATCCCTAAAAACCTTATAACTTTCTGAGTGATTGGAATGATATGAGCATTATTTGTTATAATATTTGATCTTGGTCCCCAGTTTCAGAGGGAACATCTAAGATCCTTGATATCTCTGGAGTGATGATAATATCTTTTTGTATGTTAGCAAAAAGTAATGAGAATTGGCTTTTGGGTAGACAACAAAGTGTCTGCTACTCCATATCTAAAATTGGAAGAATATAAATCTTGAACAATTGTGGTAGGTAGATGTCTAAATCAACTGGTACTCAATATGTATTTGCTCTCATTTCATCTGAGCACTCTATGATTATGTTTTAGAATTTATAGAAAATTCTGTTTGGGGACAATATGAGATGTCAGCTCTGCTTTGGTATATTAATTCAAAATGTGCCTAGCATATAATAGGCACTTAAGAAAAATTTGTTGAATGAATGAATAAAGAACTACATTTTCACTCTCTTTGCGCAAAAGTCTACTTTTGGCCTCATGAAAGGTCTATTTAATTTTTCAACTCAGACTAGCAGGAAGAACACAAAAAGAGTATGATAATAATTTCAAGACAGAAATGTTACCCAATATTTTAACTACCAAGTAGATAAACTTAGTGGTGTTTGTGTGTTCTGTAATGGTAAAATATTTTTACAAGGCTAATTTCAGTTGTTTACTGACTTTCTAGCTGTTTCAGTAAAGTTATCAAACTAAGAATTGTCCAAGAAAATTTTGGTTCTGAAGAGTTCTTGATCTTTTTCTTCAATTGTACAAATACATGTTCTTTAACAATATTCTCTGGTTTGTATGTGCTGGGAACCCAAACCTCAATATAACAGTGTTGAGAGGTAGGTCTAATAAGAAATGATTAGATTATGAGGGCAGAGCCCTCATGAAAAGATTGATGTTGTCACTCGAGGGAGTGGATCAGTAATCTCCAGAGTGAGCTGTTACACATGGGAGTTGGGCATTCTCTTACTTTCTTGCTCTTCCCCTCTTTTGCCCTTCTGCCTTCTACCATGAGATGACTCAGCAAGAAAGCCCTTGTCAGATGCTAGTCCATGTTAGCTTTCAGAACCATAAGCCAATACTTCTCTGTTCATTATAAATTACTCAGTCTCCAGGAGTCTTTTAGAGTAGCAGACAACAGAGTAAGACACAATATTTTAATGGTATAGAAAAGTGTCTCATATGAACTAGATTACAGGCCACCAGGACACTCCAAATTTATAGTGGTTTGGCTTACCATTTGTCAATTTTAGGATGATATGAAAGCACACCCACACAACCATTTTGTTTTTCATCTTTAGTACAGTATTCAATAAATTACATGAAGTGGTCAACACTTTATTATTAAATAGGCCTTGTGTTAGAGTATTCTGCCCATCTGTAGACTAATGTAAGTGTTCTAAGTACATTCAAGGTAAGCTAGGCTAAGGTATGATGTCTGGTATATTATGTGTGTTAAATGTATTTTCAACTCACCCTATTTTCAACTTCTGATATTTTCAATTTACAGTAGGTTTATCAGGACATATAGCCATCGTAAATTGAGGAGTATCTATACTTGATTTAACTTTTGGTTTCATAAAGCAGATGGGTAACAAATACCACATGTTAACAAAATATCTAAGCTGTACCTTTAAGATGTAGAAGCCTAGGGGCGCACTATGGCAATTCTGTTATTACTGTAGCCTTCTTTACTCTTTATTTTCTCTAAACTCCATTTCTCAAAATATGCTCTCTAGAAGACTATATTTATAAAATTTAAATAGTTATTAACCAAACACAATGGTACATGCCTGTAACCCCAGCTACTGTGGAGGCCTAGGCAGGAGGATCACAAGTTTGAGGCCAGCCTGGACAACTTAACAAGACCCTGAAAATAAAATTTTAAAAGGGCTGAGGATGTGGCTGATTGGTAGAGCATTTGCCTAGCATGTGGGAGGCCCTGGGTTTAATCCCCAGCACTGAAAAAAAAATAGATATGAAATAAAAATAAAAAAGGGGTTCTGAGATCCAGTAAAGTTTAGGATGTTCTAAATTAACAAAGTTCTTCACTACAGAATTTCTCACTCCTTAGTATGGATCTCCAAAAGTAAGTGCCAATGCAGTGTCCCTCAACTGTCCTTTCAACATGGGCTCTTCCTTCCTCAGGAGCCTGGATGAGGCTTTTTCCCCTTCTCCCCACTCCAAACCAGGAAAGTACCAAGGACTAAGATTTTGTTGGAGGGTCACAAGCCATTATACAAACATTTTTCCCCCTTAAGAACCATTTCACCCTTTGGGGAGAATCTGACCTCGGCTGAGAATGCACACTTTAACGTGAATCGCTTCTCAAACTCCTTCACCATAGAACTTTTTCAAGTTCACCAGTATTTCCAGAAACATACTTTGTGAAACCCTAATTTAGTCACCAAGGAATATTTTAACACTTCATCATTCTCTTAAATCTCAAGGTAGAGTTTCCTCCTTAACATTGAAATTTCCCTAGTAGAAAACTACAATAAAGCCAGGCATTCCAAGAAATAAAAAAGACTTGGTTGAGAAGCCCTGTCTGTCTCCATGCAGCCTCTGGCCAGCACCCTTAGTTTGTGGGTTTTATATCAGTCAACATTTTTCATAATTGTGGTATAACATACATAAAGCCTATAATGTTCTCTGATCTTAAGCGTACAGCTTGAATAAATCTTCACAATTGTATACACACCCAGATCAGGATACAGGCACTGAACTCTTGATCAGAGACCTTTTTTAAAAGTCTTGACCTCACATCAGATACATTCAGCAGTTTTCAAACTTTGATGACATTAAGTGAATATTCTACCCAGGGGGGGGGGATTATTAAAATCACAGATTCCTGCCCTCAGAGATTCTAACTCAGGTCTGGAGTGGGAACTGGGGTTTCTAATAAAAACTCCAGGTGACTCTGATGCAAGTGGTCTGTGGATCACACTTTAGAGAAACATCAGCCTGCCCTATAGGATAAAAGTCAAAGTCCTTAACAAGGCATTAAGGCCTTTCCTAATTTGACCCGGTCTCATTTTCCCAGACTCACTGGCCGGTTTTCACCATGCAGAATTACTTATCTCTCCTCAACAGGTCATGCACGTATATTTTCCTTAACCTGGAATATCTTTCCCGTCTTCTTTACAGGAAGACTCCTTCTTATCCTTCAAGACCCAGCGACACTGTCACTTCCTCTGGTAAGTCTTCTGAACCTCATCAGGCAGAATTAGTTGCCTCCTCATTGTTGATCCATAACTTTATTAAAATTGTTGTAGTTGTTATCACAATATTGATTTTAAAATCTCCTTGTTTAGAAATAAGGAGTATATTGGTTCTCTGCTAGACATCTAACATAGGGGGGCAGCACACTGTGGTGAATGAATGAATGGTGGATGTTATTGATTCCCACCCGAAGTCACTTAGTTCTCACTTCCTGTCCCACAAGGCTGCAAGCTCCCTAACAGAAGAGATTTCTTATTCACTTTTTTGTTTTCCAGTCTCATCCCAGGGATTCAGCTGCCAGTGGAAAAATACCTAACGGGTGAGCATAACACTTTCACTTGCCCCAATTTAGTGAGTACCTCAGTGCCTCCTAGGCTCTCCCCACACTGGTGGAAGGAGGCAGGAGCTGAGTGTTAAGTGTTGGGGGAAGAAGTCATCCCCATCTGCCAGATAAGAATGCTATGTAAGACTGAAAGTGCAGAACTGGGCCTCCAACACCAGGTTCCTGGCTTTCGCTGACCTTTCCCTCCATAGAACACTGTTGCCATGGAGATGACCATTACCCTAAGGAGCACAGTTGGGTGAGGCCTCCAGAAAGGTCTCTCAGGAAAGCAACAGTGAATGGAGACCCTTGGCCCCCTTGCCAACTTCCTCTTCTATTTATTTGCCTATTTCCTTGTCTACTCATGTTTGTATTTGTTGGTTTATTTTTTTAGCATTTTTATAGACAACTAGGCATCTAGACAAAAGCCACTATGGGAAGCCCTACCCACAGCCCAAGGTGAGCTCTGAGACCACTGATCATTGACTCGCAGTTTCAAGAAGGTACCAAGGGCATTTTTGGTACCGGGTCTTGGAGGGAAGGGGGCGGTCCTGGTTGGAAGGGGCGGGGCGATGCTGCCGCCTTCAACTCTGGCCCTGCGTGGTGCCCGGGCACTTCCCACCTGGCCTGGACTGCGCAGGCGCTGGGGTTGCCCACTCCTGGACCGTTGAGCTGCCTCGCGTTTGCTGGTGGCCTAGGAGGGAGTGCGTTTGGACGTGAGGGGGTCTGACTGAGGACATTGTGTGCCTGGACAGCGAGGCCATGTGTGGCACCCACGGTTCCCGAGCCCCGCAGGCGAGTAGTGCGGGCCAGGGTTGGGGCAGGCCATGGGCGGCGGCGTCGCCCGAGGAGTACAGCTTCGAATACGGCTCCCCGCGGTACCTGCTGCTGTGCGGTCTGGGCGGGATGCTGAGCTGCGGGCTGACGCACATGGCCATCGTGCCCCTGGACCTGGTCAAGTGCCGCATGCAGGTGGACCCCGACAAGTACAAGGGCATCTTCAGCGGCTTCGGCGTGACAGTGCGCGAGGAGGGGCTGCGCGGCCTGGCTCGTGGCTGGGCCCCGACCTTCATAGGCTACTCCCTGCAGGGCTTCTTCAAGTTCGGCCTCTACGAGGTCTTCAAGATTCACTACAAGAAGCTCCTGGGCGAGGAGAAGGCCTATACGTGGAGGACCACCTTGTATCTGGCCGCCTCGGCCAGCGCCGAGTTCTTCGCCGACGTGGCCCTGGCGCCCATGGAGGCGGTCAAGGTCCGCGTGCAGACGCAGCCAGACTACGCCCGCACCCTGCGTGAAGCCGTCCCCAAGATGTATGCCGAGGAGGGCCTGTGGGCCTTCTACAAGGGCCTGGCGCCGCTGTGGATGCGGCAGATCCCCTACACCATGATGAAGTTCGCCTGCTTCGAGCGCACGGTGGAGGCGCTCTACAAGTACGTGGTGCCCAAGCCGCAGTGCGAGTGCACCAAGGCCGAGCAGCTTGGTGTCACTTTTGTGGCGGGCTACATCGCCGGCGTCTTCTGCGCGATCGTGTCCCACCCCGCCGATTCCGTGGTGTCGGTGCTGAACAAGGAGAAGGGCAGCACGGCCCTGGAGGTGCTCCGCAGACTGGGGCCCCTGGGCGTGTGGAAGGGCCTATTCGCTCGCATCATCATGATCGGCACCCTGACGGCCCTGCAGTGGTTCATCTACGACTCGGTCAAAGTGTATCTCAATCTGCCGCGCCCTCCCATTGCCGAAGAGCCTGCATCCCTGAAGAAGCACAAATAGGCATGGATTTGTGAACTACTGTAGCTACCCAGGGTCCAGGTTCCCACCAAGTCGGGGATCGCCTGTTCGGGTGTTAAAGGTTAACGTGTTCAGGAGAGGTGACCGAATTCTCTTCAAAGGACTGGTTTCTTCTTTTTGGCAGTCCCAGAGGATTGCAAACGTTTCATTTGAATATTTGAATCGTTATCTTTGGGTAGTTGGCATGGTTAATTTTATTTGATAGCTTTACAATAAATAAAAGAAAAAAATTCCTAACAGGAAGTAATGGTAGGTCATTTAACATTTCTATCTCCTTTGATTCACATTTCTGTGGAGATTATCCAAGCATATCGGTTGCATAGGCTGCAAATGAGGTTTCGAGGTCAGCACAACTATATGAGATGGGAACAAAGGGAAGTTCTGGTACATGATATTTAGCTCAGTAGAAGTCGTGCACCTTTTGAATAGATGAAGGACTCGTTGAATATTTCTTGTTCATTCCCATATAGGTAAAAATTATTAAAAGTTAAATGGTGCCTTATATTGTTTGATAGCTTAGAATGTATTCACTGTTTTCAGAGACATAAGAAGGTCTGCATTTTCTCATTTTGCTTTGTCCCTTCTCTTCATGATGTTGCTGATTAGAACCTAGCTCTCTCCAGGAAGCGCTAAAATTGGATCAATGTGGAAAGCCAAAATGAGATGAAGGGCAGGCTCTGGGAATAAATATGTAAAGAAAAGCCTCTGTTCTCCAAAGATTTCTTTTGTATAACTCAGCTTTCAACAGCCATGCATCCAAAGAAGACCATACCACCCTGGCATTAAAACAAAACTAAAGCCAAAACGAAACCCTTGCAAATTCCAACGACTTTTGTTGAATATTAAAGGATAGTTTTGATGGCTTTGGAAGGAAAATCTCACTTTAAATAATATAAGTACTGTTCATTTAATTTGGTAGATATTTCTATGATCTTTACAATGGTTGAAGTTCATAAAATATTGAAGTTATAAAACACATTTTCAGTTCCCCATAGCCTTCACATCTCTGATATGGGAAATTATCAAATCAGTGAAAGTCATGAATTAGAGATGTTTATAAAATGTGAATAAGAAATAAACTTCAACATGATATTTTAGATAACTTACCAAAGTATTGCATGATTGCCTTACCAACTTGTATTAAATTAGATTTCAAATTTAGAATATGTTAATGTTTTAACTTTTTAAAACTGTTCTGCGGTTAAAAAGAAGTTTGAAAGTGTCTAGAATAAATATGTATGAACTGTTCTGATTGGATAATAAAGAAGTTGGAAGGAAATTCCAGAGCTTGTGAATGAGATGGAATGAAGCGTATTTGTATTCAGTACTGCTATTTTGCTTTTTATTGACAAGGTTCATTATCTTTGTTAACAAACTTCAGCTTGCCTTAGGAGGTTAGTGTGCAAGTTTGTTGAAAAGAAAAGTTCTCAGCAAAGGAGAATGATAAATTTAGTGGAACTGAGTTTTGTAGATTCATTTTTACAAAAATTAAAAACATACATTTCTGTCTAGAAAATATTTTATAAAATATTTCTTTGGCCAACAATTTATTACTTTTTATCAGTAATATAATTTAGGAAATACTGGCAAAGCTGTGAATTTTAGGGTAATGAGAGGCCACTTGTCTGGTCTTTGATATTTCATGATTGTTCACAAGATAATTTTGATAGTATACATAGTATATTGTTTTTGTCAACTTTTGTGTTGCTGTGACCAAACAGCCTGACAAGAGCAACCTAGAGGAAGAAAAGTTATTTTGGCTCATGGTTTCAGTTTTAGATTCAGCCCATGGTAAGCTGACTCCATAGTCCTGGGCCTGAAGTGAAGCAGAACATCATGGTGTAAGGTTCTAGTGGAGGGAAGTAGCTCAGGACATGGCAACCAGGAAGCAGAGAGAGAGAGAGAGAGATCTCCACTCATCATGGAATAAATATAAACCTCAAGGCACACCCCACACCCTACTGGCCTACAGTTACCACCCAGTTAATCCACATCATTGGATAAATCCACTGATTAGGTTAATGCTCTGAACAACTACAATATGTCCAAATCATACTGTGTAGAGAAGTATACACTAAGGGGACCATGTGGCATGATTCTGGCTGTCATGAATACGGTCAAGAAGACGGTTTACTTAATTTGGTCAGCAATTTTATTTATTTATTAATGGTACTCAGGATTAAATCCAAGAACCTAAGCAAGATCTTACATATGCTAGGTAATGCTCTACCACTGAGCTACAACCACAGCTCAGCAATTTTTATATTTATCCATATATTACTATTCACATTTCTTTAAATTGGTGGAGTATAGATATCTTATTTAAACAAGTTCCTGAATAGCTGACAGTAAAGAATAAAGGCAATTTAAGTTAGATAATATGAATTCAGAATTAATAAGGATTTTTTCCTTAGTTATTATTTCTTTGAGACAATTTAAATTTCTGATAAATGTTTTACATTTGTATATGGGAGACCAGAACATGCTGAAGACAATTAAGGAGCAGCAGATGTTGAAAGCTCTTTGCCTTTCCTGAATTTACTGAAAAACGAAACAGATTTATAAAAACACAGGTATCCTGCCCCACCTTCCACCAGAGAGAACAAAAGTTAACCAGCAAAGGCAACTTGAGATCCGTATTGGCCTGGAGATGGTACCATAGCATCTATATTAGCAAGTTTTATGAAAGAGCCTTTATATGCTATTTATTTGCTTCTCCCACAGTGCCTCACCTAAAGACACCCAAAGTCCTTTTCTTAACTTCTCTATAAAAATTTACCATTCTTTTTAAAGATGATATACAAGCTGGAATTCAGTGTTGCCTTTTTGAAAACTCTGTGTGATTCCCAGGTATATATGAAATATATAGGTTAACAAACTTCTGTTTTTTTCTTGTGTTAATCTGTCTTTTGTAACCAGTATCTTTCAACTAAGAGCCTATGGGGGTCATTCTTCTGCTACCCCTGTAATCTATGAAATCATGCATATCTGTTAGAATTATAAAAGTCATAATATACCTCTGGTATTATTAGGCATTTTATATTCATTTCCTCAAATAATCTCAATTCTTGAAGTCATTCATTTTATATATGAAAGAGACTCAGAAGCTAGGTAACTTGCTTATCAGAGTCATGGCTAATAAGTGATAAAATCTAGATCAAAGCCCACATTTTCTTTATTATTCCAGTCTAACAACCTGTTATGACCAATGTCTATCCTTTTGATAGTTTTTCTCTCATCTCCTCCTCCTTTCCTCCTTTTCCTCCTCCTCCTTCTTCTTTCTCTCTTTCTTTCACTCTTTTTTTTGGTGATTGTACTAGGAATTGAACCCAGGGGTACTTTACCACAAAGCCAAATCCCAGCCCTCTCACTAAAAAATTTGCCTGGCTAGCCTCAAACTTGTGATTCTTCTACCTCATCCTCCCGAGTAGTTGGGATTAAAAGCATAGTATAATTTTTTTTTATAGTACTTCAAAATTATTTCTAAGGGCTGGATGTGTAGCTCTGTGGTAGAGACCTTGTGTATTATGTACAAGGCCCTATATTTGATGCCCAGCAAAACACACATACACACACACACACACACACACACACACACACACACAGATTTAATATTTGTATATACTATGAAATGTCCTTAATATTGTACCAATGCAAAGTTTTTAATGTGACTCAATTATGGAAAACCTATGACAAAATTGCTTAAAAGTAATCAAACTGTAAAATATTTAGTAATGTAATATTTAAGTCATTTTTCACTCCAGGTCAGTGGCTCAATCCTAACTTGAAGGAACTGATGATAACCAGTGTGTTTGATTTGTATGTGTGTGGTGTGTGATATTGCAGTTTCAACAAGAGGCTTTATTCTATCCCATTTTCTATTTCTCTCCTCTAATCTTTAGTTCCTACAGCCAAGGAAACTGGCTTAGGCCTATTTATCTTTCCCCCCAGGTGGTGATTAAAGTTGCTGTCTCAAGTATATGAAATTAATTTCATGATAGAGAGCTGTAATCTCATCCACTGATCTCTCCTTTGAGAAGTGAATAAAGGGAGTAGGCAAAATCTTGAAAAACAAAGGCCATATTTACATGTTAATACCACATGATAAAGATCAGAAAGAATCAAGGTATTAATGTTATGAGTAATTTTTCCTTGCCACACAAGTGTGTCTTTAGAAAATAAGTCTTTTGAACTTTTCAAAGGCAAGAATAATCACTAGAAGTCAGAAGATTACATTTTGACAGGCAGCCATTCAAGTACAGTATGCTTATTTTTCAAGGCCTTGAAGATCATTTATTTAAAAATTATGAGCAAAGAACTGTTTGCAAGGAAATTTAAATTTTAATTTCACTTGGAAGACTGTCTCATTTTCCTGAGACTCTGTCTCATTTTCCTACTATTTGGGTCTGTGGGTGAATAGGGAGGTATTAATGTGACTGTGACTACGTTTGTATGTAGGCATGTAATTGTTTTGGTTAGCATATTTTGAGGATTTCCGAGGTTTTGAATTTTGGGTGGCATGTTGATTAATTCTGTCCATGTCCCTAGCCTATAATTTTACTGATCAACATCCACCACGTGCCAAGTATTGTGCTAGGCAGAAGGGATTCTGTGATGAACATATTACATGGACTTTACCTTTGTAGAGCTTACAATCTAGTAGGAAAAATAAATCAAAATTGTGCAAAGTGCTGCAAAGGAGCATAAGGTGGTGTAAGACTGTAGATCTATATAATGTTTAAGATGAGACCTAGAGGATAAGGAGTAATTAGACTGGCAAAGAGAAAGCACAGGTCAGGGGCACACTTGCCCTGAGGAAAGACAAAGCCTGGTGTGTTTTTGTTTTGTTTTTGGCACTAAAGATTGAATTCAGGGACATTAACCACCAAGCCACATCCCCAGCCTTTTTTATATTTTATTTAAAGACGGGGTCTTGCTGAGTTGCTTAGGGCCTCACTAAGTTGCTGAGGCTGGCTTTGAATTTGTGATTCTCCTGCCTCAGCCTCCCAAGCCATTGGGATTACAGGTGTGTGCCACTGCACCTGACCAAGCCTGATGGTTTTGAGGAACTGAGAAGTATGTTTTGGCTGGAGCCAAGAAGGCAATGTGAAATGTAAAGAGGAGAAGAGTCACACCAGGCTTTATAATAGTTTATATTAATAATTCAGTTTTCTTAGAGCTATCAGAACATCTCTGAAGGGCTTTAAACATGGATCTTCAAGTTGCTGGGAGGAGAAAAATGAGTCTGAAACATCTATCCGTCAAAATGTTGTTGCTCTAATTTAGGTGAAAGAATGATACAGGACGAGGACGGTGACAATGAGAGTCAAAAAAGGAGAAGTCAGAAAGCAGAATCAGCCCATCTGTCCATCATCTGGATAAGGAAATTGTGGCATATGCACACAGCAGAATATTATTCAATTATAAAGAGGAATGAAGGACTGATACATGCCGTGACTTGAATGGACCTCAAAAACATCATGCTAAATTAAAGAAACCAAACACAAAAGATCATACCTTGTATGATTCTTTTTATATTTTATGTCCCAAACAGGTAAAACCAGAAACAGAAAGCAGATCAATGGTTATTAGGAGGTAGGGAAAATGGGAAGCAATTATTTAATGAATATGTGGTATTATTCCAGAGTGCTTCCTTAAATGAACAACATTGTAAATGTATTTACAATGATTAGTTGTGTGACATATGAATTTCATCTTGATTTTAAAAAAATCATAAAACACTTTATTCACAGTAGCCCCAAAGTAGAAATAACCCCAAATCCATCAACTAATGAATGGGTAAAAATGCTGTATATCCACATGGTAGAATATTTTACCATGAAAAGGAATAAAGTATTATTTTCCATAAAAAGAAATAGAACACATATTATAACATGGATGAACCTTGAAGTCATTAAGCTAAGTAAAATAATCCCAACTTAAAAAAAGCCATATATTGCATGATACCATTTATATGAAATATCCTGATTAAGCAAACCCATAGAGACAGAAAGTACATTGGTACAGAGGGCTGGAGGGTGGGGAAAAGTAGGGGAGAGGGATGAAAGTATTCTGGAATTAATGGTGCAAAATGTTGTGAATATACTAAAAACCACTGAATTATACAGTTTAAAAGAGTGAATTTCATGGTATGTGATTTAAATCTCAATAAAGCTGTTATAAAATATCCCAAGACTGTAAAACACACTTAAATATGTATTTCTTCCTTAAGGTACAGCCCTTACTTCTATCTTCCTCCATCAAGTTAAGACCACAGTACCAAAAGTATGGCTCTGAGACATTAAATTCCATATAAATGAATTTTTTAAAAATCTGCCCTATTGTAAAAGGTGCAATTGCCTCTAATGAGTTCATGATGTCTTGTTCTAGTGATGCAGAGATTGTTAATTCAGGGGAATCACTTCAGTGCGACAAGTTGAGCTGCCATCAATTTTGCCCTTTATTGTAAAAGAGGAAAGAGGAGCAGATGGATTTGGAGAAAAGCAGGTGTGTGTATAACACACCAGAAAATCTCAGTTAACCAAAAGGTTAAAGAATTGGCAATTTTTTTTAACTGCAAGGCAACCAGAAGTACCTTCTCCTTTTTTTGCAATTCTTGATGAATTTTATCTATATGTCTAATGACCTTTTTAATAATAAATATGCTGAATATGATTAGTAACTCAGAGAATTGTAAAGCTTCCTGGCTACAAGTTACGAAAATCAATGCTGATTGTGTAGCACCATAGCCATAGAAGATGAAGGACTTTCACGTGGCTGTACACTGACCCCAGGCATACGTGGATATGGATGTTGAGTAAGTGCCTGTGTTCAGTCTCCACTGTTAGTTTGTAATCTTGTGATTTGCCTCTTAGTTAAAACATACTTACAGTAAAGAAAAATATCCGATTTACTTTAATATTATTTATTGAGTACTATGTGGTATTGCTTATATTCTGTATATATTATCTTTATTGTGCATGTATCAGGTAATACATATACATAATGTATGTTATCTGTATTATGCAGTATGCACATTAGCTTACTGTGCTCTTTGTGTTCTAGTAGGTTGTATTTTTAAAAATCAGTAATTTCATGTGTAAACTATAGGTAATCCTATGAGTTATCACAGTGATCCAAAATGGTACGCTATCTCTAAGGAAATTATATTCTTTTTTTTCTTTATTTATTTTTCTTTGTTGTTTGTTTGGACTGAACCCAGGACTTCATGCTTGCTAGGTATGCACTCTACCACTGAGCTATGTCCTAAGCCCCATATTTTTACATTATATTCTTATATATCAGTGTATATATCTTTCCTACCATGAAAAAAAAAACACATGCTTTTAGAAAATACTAGTAAAATTTGGTATTCTGGAAAGAGATTCTGAGGGTTGAAAGAACTCTGCCCCTTTGTAAAGTGGGTAATTCACATACACGTAATTGTTAGGCTCCAGACATGAATTGGAGCTGCTGACAGGGTGATTGTCTGATTGCGACAGGCGGATGGAAGCCTGGCAAAGACCCACAGTGTTACATCCCCAGCAGTGCTTGTACTCCGGCTGTGTTTTCATCTTACTACCAGAGATGAGGATTTGTTGCTGTAATTATTGTCTTTACCTTAATATCTCCCTTCCCTCACCAAGACAACAAAAGGGTTTTTTTTTGTAATGCTAAAAATTAGTACCATACATCTTGTTTATCTGTGTTGTGTTTTGAAACTTCCTTTTAAATCATTACCTGTGTCTGATGAGTGTCTTTTACCAATGTTAATTGCAGCTATTTACCATGCCATGTATTGTGCTAGGTACTTTATCACTTATTACAACCACCAGGTGATGGTGACATTTGTCCAAGATAGGATGATTGTGTTGAAGATGATCATTATGATGATGATGATGGTGATGATGATGATGATGATGATGATGATGATTTTGACTGAAAGCAACAAAAATCCCAATACAAAATGGATTAAACCATAAAAATATTTATTGTTAAGGTATCTGGAGCTAGGCCTGGGGCAGTGTAATCCCAGCGGCTTGGGAGGCTGAAGTGGGAGGATTGCAATTTAAAGACAACCTCATCAATTTAGCAAGGACCCAAGCAACTTAGTGAGACTCTGCCTCTAAATAAAATACAGAAGGGCTGGGGTTGGGGCTCAGTGGTTAAGTGCCTTTGAGTTCAATACTCAGTACCAAAAATAAATAAATAAATAAAATAAGAAATCTGGAGCTAAGTGGACCAGTTTTGATTCAACAGATCATTGTCCCCAAGGACGCAAGCTCTTCCATTCTTTCTGCTCTGCAGTCTAGTGTGTCAGTGATGTCTCCTCTCAATTTCATAAGATGGCTGCCACAGCACCATCATCTGAACAACAGCAACCATAGCAGGGAGCCGGGGGCAAAGGCCAATGGACTTACCCTTCATGTATGTGTCTTATAGCAAAGGAGAATCTTTCTGAGAAACTTTGGGCAGATTTCCCCTTGATTCTCATTGGCAGAATTTGGTCACATACCTACCTGGAGGCCATCATTGGCATGTAGAAATAGTTCTTATGTCAATGCAGCTCATCTGTGGGGGTTAGGGACATTGTAGCCTCAATAAAACTGGAGTTCTTTTTGATGTTCATAAGGAAGAGAGAGATGGCTGTTAGGAAACCTAGTATTAGTCACCCTAGTTTACAGATGAGGAAACTGAGGCTCAGAGAGTGAAGTAAGGTCAAACTGCAGTGACAAAGCCGGCTTCAGAGCAGATGTCTGCCTCCCCAGCTATTGGCTGTTACAGTCCTTGCTTAGGCTGAGACTTGCTGAAAGGCAGAGCAGCTATAGATCATATCAAAAGGAATTTATTATTTAAAGTGTCAAAAAGACTGTTCTCTACCAGTGACTAATACATGGTGAGGTCTCAAAGCCAGCCGTCTTTGAACAGTGGTGACCCATGGATAACAAGACATGATTAAATGTAAGTTTTGCTATCATGTCCTGCAAAAGGGAAAACTAGGTGAGAAAAAACACAAAGACAAACATTTTTAAAGAAAGCAAATGTTTATAATCCTGTTTTTGCAGGCATCTGCAGTCTTTTAATTCTATACTTTTTTTTTACTGTTTCCAGAAATGGTCAATTTCTTTCAAATGCTGTATACTTGAAAAATCCAAAGGATTCATTAGATGAACTAATTTCAAAGAGCCATTGCCAATTTTCTTTTTTCCTTAAGAAAACCATCGAGAATTTGATTTGCTGCTGATAAAGTCTCTGTAAGTAGCATTATAATTAAGCACATACAAACCATTCTGTGTTTCCAAGAATACAGCTGGGTTGGCACTGAGCTGGCGATAGCGCACGGGTACCGAGCGGGAGTGTCCCGTTGCATCTCAACTACCATGTGCAGCCTTTGTGCAAGCGACCAGGACATCTCTTTCCCCGACACCCTCAGCATCACAGGCCATGGCCCATTCATCCTGTCTATCACTGAGCTGGCTTATGGGGCACCTTGGCTGAGCCTTGGGGCTGTTGCTGTCCTGCTTGCAGGATCAGGCTAGAAAAAAAAAATTGCCAGAAATGAAAATGATACACCTCTCCCAGCATGACTCCCCACCACCCCAAACTGGTAATCAGAGGGGGGAGTGGTGGGTGGGCAAAACTGGAGAAAGGGAGAAGCAGTGAGGACGGGGTGGAACAGTCAGACCAGGTTTCCCAGTGTGGCTTTACCAACCTGGTTTGCAAGGGCTTTGGCAAGTTCATTACCTGATCTTGCCATACCTCAGTTTGCCCCTGTGAAACCACAGCATCTGCCCTGAAGACAGATGGTGAGAACATGCAATGGTTTGTGCAAAACACATGGAATCTAATAAAATCTCAATCCATTATAGTGCTTACAATTATCATTACCAGCCTCTTAACAAAAAAAAAAAAAAGGACAGACTCTTAGCAGGAAAGATTTAGCCTGAGTTGTTATTGTTATTGTCATGGTTGCTCTTGGATATATACAGAATACAGTTGCTTTAATTTTTAATGCATCATAAAGTACAAAATCCTTTGTGGGGAATTGAGCATGGAAGAAAATGAAAAGCAAGTAGCCTGGGGGTGTTGTGTGTACAGAAGCCAACAGCGGCAACCCTATCTCCCCCTGGCTTCTATGCAGTTTCTTTTACAAATGTGTTTTTGGTATGCAAATCACTCTATGCAGATTTCTGTGTGCAAAATACAGCATAGAAAAATGGCCTCCTTGCCAAGGAAGATAGGAAATGTTGGCTACCATCAAATGAAATAGCAGCAAATTTCAGACTTCTTTTCCTACTGCTCTTTCTAACAATGTATGGGGTGAGCAGATTTTTGGCACATTAAGCCCAACTATTTTGGCTTTAGATTGTGTGTTCTTGTGATAAACGTGTGCTTATTGAAGCCTGTAAGTGCTTTTTGAAGCCATAATAATGTGTAGTGGTATTTCATTTACCATTGCACAACAACGTGCCACCTCCAGCTAGCAAAATATTCTTGTTCTGAAATCACAGACAGTTTCACATGTAAGGTTAGGCTGTTCATCTCCACGTCCTTGCTTCATGTCGATAAAGACGTGGGCTTATTCAGAGGTTTAATTTCATAAAACAGTTTCTCCCTAATTGATGTAGGTCTTAGTAAGTGAAAGGAATACACTTCACATTAAAATGATTCTTTTGATGAGCATGTGATGCTAGCACTGAGTTCTCAAGGCAATATTTCATCATCCAGGCAGAATAATAATACAGCCCTTGCATGATGCTTCCTGACGTTTTTTTTTTTTTTTTTTTTTTTTTTACGAATTCACCACAGCCAGAGTCTTTTCCCGTTGGCTCCTCTTGTGAGTTAATGGGAGGGGGTGAGGTCTATCAGTTGTCATTTGTAACAGGGGCCTCGACTCCCAGGCACAGGATTTTTGTTTTCCTCAGTCATACTAAGAAAACAGCCACTATAGGCCGGTGGCCCTGGACTGTGCTTCCTGTCTTCCTTCCTCTCCTTTTTTTTCTACCCAAAGTTTGTTTATCTGTTTGTTTTTTCCCTAATTTGGGGTATTTCAAACTTGCCAACGTGTCAAATGAAACACTCATTAATTTTACAAAATCAACGTTTAATTTGAAAGCATTTTCCAAGACAATGTACATAGTCGAGAGAGAAAGAGTGTCAAGTGTAGCTTCCTCTCCCAGGACATCCCTGGCTGGAGGAGAGGGGGAAGGATGATGTGTTGACTCCCTCGGGCATTCTCCCACGGTGGGTGGGTTCCCTCATTCCATTTCCTGCTTGCTTCCAGTCGGGTCGGGCATTGCCCTGAGCACTGGAGCATAAAAATGAAAACAGTCCCAACCAGGAGGAGTTCAGTGTCACCCAGAAGAGACAGATGTGGAAACAAACTTCACTGGCCCTGATACCTCTACAGACGCAGCACCAGGTGTGCACAGGTGTGCACATGTGGGGCCCCTAACTCCATCACACTTTTTCGTCAGGAAAGACCCATTGGAGGAGTTCCACCCAGGATGAAAACTGATTTCTCCAGATGGGTCTGGAGTGTGGGGGAAAGAGTGTTGGAGGAAGAGGAAGCACAAGGGTACAAAGTCCGAATCAGCCTAGGATGGGGAATGTTTTCAGTGGAGAAATGTCTTGAGCCTAAAAACAGAGCAGGGAGGGAGCATGGGAACAATTCCTGACATTTCACATTTCTGTTTTACCTTTTTTATTTCTAGTATCCTTGGTAGGTCACTTTATGGATTGTCCAGATTATTGCTGCAGCCTGTAACTGGTCCTCTTGCCTCCAGCTTCCTCCTCCACTGACATAGAAGCCCACCTCTAAGGCCCCTGCAGGATTCATCTGGATCCACATTGGATCCACTGTGGATGAAATAAAGTGCTTTATGCCAGAGCTCAGGGGTCCTGTTGTGATGTGGTCACTTCCTGCTCATTGCCCACATCTCACAATGTCTGCCCCTCAAGTCCCAGGCCCAAACCCAGCCTGCCTACTGCCACACCCTCCCTGTCATCCATGTCAACCCACTGACCAGGCTGCCCATTTCCCACCTGATCTTCTGTCCTTCAAGACTTAGCGTGGATCCCTTTGTCTGGCCAGAGTTGACTTGTCCTCTGTCTGCCAGCATTGTGTCAGGGACTAAATAAAGGCTTTGGAGTCCCAAGATGTGGGTTCCAATCCTGGCTCAGGTTTTAGACAGCTTTCCACAACTCAGTTTCCCCAACTATGAAATATGTCTGCCTACCTTGTTCTAGGACTTCAGAGCATGCTTGTTAAGTGCCTGATACCCTGTCCTCAGATATTAGAGCTCCACATGTTGTTACACTCAACCTCTTTGTGAAATTCAGGCAATGGTAAATACCTTTCTCATTTGGCACAAGGATCATGGCAACTGATGGATATGAAACTCTCCTTTGCTGAAAAATACTTTGGATGAATGCTAATTGTTATTTCTCTCTGTTAATATGTTCATCTTTTTTTTTTTTGTACATTCATCCATTCACTCACTTACCATATTAAATTCCCAGTGTTTGGAACATCCTAAGCTTAGCCCAGAGGATATAAAGGTGATCCTGAAAGTCCTGCAAAGAGCTCATAGCCTCACAGGGAAATAGACAGGATGACAGTCAAATCTGAAGCCAGTCCTGGAACCCCACCATCAAGTGGGGTTGTAAGGGACCAGTGAACGACAGAGGAAGAGACCACCAAGAGACGGACTCATGCAACAGCAAAAGGGGGTTTATTGAAGATCCAGTGCGCTGGGGCTCCGTGCTCACTCAAGAAGGGAGAGTGGCCCAGAGCCCCGAGCAGGGGTTAAGCAGTGCTTAAGTACACTTTTTGGGGAGGGCGGGGGCTTTGCATACATCAGAGCAGATCATCATGAGGCGCGGGAAAATCGAACAACAACTCTCAAACATGATTAGTACATTCATTGGCGGGAACAGGTCGGGCGGGGGTGATAGGTCAGCCCTAAAGCGGGGTATACATTCTACGTGCTGAGCTGCACTGGGTCCAGGTTGTTAAGCAACTAAGTGGTCAGGGGGGATTCCTACACATATCTAATGGGCAGTCCCTGGAATTGTCTTAACAGCTACAGGAATTTCAGGCTTTGAGTGTTGCTTAGAAACTTAACAATACCTGGTCCTTTACATTTTAACTTCAGTTTCTTTTACTCTTTCAGGGTGCTTTAGAATAGGGGAGGGTTGAGGACATAGGGATGAGTTCCAGAAAAGCTGCCCTGTCATGGAGTTTGGAAGGGTGTGACGAGGTGGGGAAGGGCATGACTGTTTGAGGGAATGAGGGGAATCAATAAGGGCCAGTAGCACAGGGCTGCTTAGGGTATGGGGAGCGGAGCTTCGGGGCTATGGGCTGGAGGCAAGGAGAGTGGGCATGGGCAGGGGAAAAGGTAGGCTATGGGCTTGGCAGATGGTACAGGGGTCCAGGACCCCAGCTAGCCTGCAGCACTTTGAAGCAGGGTGTGCTAAGTAATCTTTTTATTCTCCTACAACCCCCAGGGCTTTCACACCACAGAGCACCCCAGGGACTCTGGAGGGAGAGGCTCCGTGGGACCTTCTAAAGATTAGCAAGCAAAGCCACCCTAGTGACACCCTGGGCTATGACTCATGTCTCCCAGACCCTCTCCCTTCCACCACCAAGGGTGGAGGTGGCCTGTTTTTGCCAGGGAGCTGGGTCCATCCATAATGTAATAGCACAAGTCAATAGGAAAATAGGATGTCAGATACAGGGTTTCATTCTCAGCAAACTTTCCTGAAATGTTACAGAGCAAAGTACAGTCCGCAAGCCCAAATGCTTTTGGAGGGTGCGGGAAATGATTCACTGTCTTTAAAGTCTTTGGGACAAGGCTGACACCATGTAGGTGTTAAAATAAATATTAACTTGTTGATTTGAACACTCTAGTATTCAGGAGGCAGAGGCAGAAGGATCACAAGTTCAAGGCCAGCCTGGGTCACTTAGCCTGAGCCACTTAGCGAGAAAGACTCTGTCACAAAATAGAAAATAAAGAGGGCTGGAGATTAGCTCAGTGTTAGAGCACTGGGTTCAATCCCAGTACTACCAAAACACACACACATGCACACACACAAAAAAAAAAAAGAAAGAAAGAAAGAAAGAAAAAAAGAAATGGCCTCTAGGGTGCAGGACTGGAAATTGTCAGCGGTTGAGGATGAATGACCTTTTTCTCATATGTGGAGACATGTGTGTTTGAAAGAGAAGCAAAAGCTCTCCAAACGACCGGAATCCCATCAGGCCTGATACTGTTACTACCACCCTCTGAAGCAAGGTTTTGAAAATAAACACTTGAAAGTGTGCCCAAATTGTTGTAATCTTATTAATCTAACAAAGAGTCTCAGTGACTGCCTCAGCCAGGGGGAATCAGTGTTTGCCATGTAATTTGCAGCAAGCTGATAAACACACCCTCACCCCACTGGAAGAGAACTCCCGTGCTCCCTGCGAGAAAGCAGTTGGCAGAAAGCAGAGATAGAGGATTAAGACCAAAAAGACGCTGTATATTTGGGTCAATATTTCCTCTTCTCTCCTACTCCCTGGTCCTTGCCATCTCCAAGTTCAGAGGTATGTGTGTGGTCTCTCCCCTCTTGCCCTCCTGAGGCATCTGTTCCATGTCTCTGGCCACCCTGGGCTGTCCTGGGAGATCTCCTGAGGACTTTCTGCCTTGGCATCTTGTTGGGTGGCTCTGAGATCATTCTGGATACTGTGGTGGATTTTAGGCCTGTCTTCTTAGCTGAGACCCTCTCACCAGTCTGAGGGATTCCAGAGGGATGAGCCCTCTCCTCCCTGGTCTCCAGGGGGGCAAGGCATTTGACAAGCTCACTGAGAGTGGCTCTGTGTGGAGCTCTTCGATATACACACGGGCAGCTTCTGGATCATACAGACAGCAGCTGGCAGGAGCCAGGGAGGTCAGGCATCCCAGGTTACGCCAAGTGGCCACAGGACAGACCGGCCGCCCACCACCCTGTCCCACCACCCCTTCCCCACAAAGCCTGCGGCTCTGCAAATCATCTCCAAAAGTGAATCTGGCTCTTGTGTCTCTCTCCCCCAGGATTTAAATCCTAGGCTGCCTTCAGGCCCACTTACTATCTCCTTTGGGCTGGGTAAGCTCTGCTTTCCACCAGGATCAGTTCAAGCAGAAGGGATTCAGATGCTGTGTAGGTAGAAGATGAAAAATACCCTCTAGACTTGTGATAACAATAGCTGGCACTGAGAGCTATGCCAAGTGCTTCAATGGATTGATTCCTTGTATTATTTTTTGTTTGTTTATTTTGTTTTGGTACCAAGGCTCAAACCTAGAGATGTTTTACCACTGAGCCACATCTCCAGCCCTTTTTATTTTTTATTTTGAGACAGGGCCTCACTAAGTTGCTTAGGGCCTCACTACATTGCTAAGGCTCGCCTCAAACTTGTGATCGTCCTGCCTCAACCTCTTGAGTCAATGGGATGATAAATGTGTGCCACCACAACCAGCCCTTGAATTCTTATGACAAACTTGAGGCACACATAAACCGAGTGACATGCACAGGGTCATACAGCTATGAGTAAGTTAAGCTTCCTGTAGGGATTTGAACAGAGGCCAGTCTGCTGCCTATAGGAGCTCTGGATGCTACATGGAAACCTCGCCTGGGTGGAGCCTCTCATTTCCAGCTTGCTCTGCCATGTTCCCACCTCTAACCTCTGACTTTCTTGCATGCCTATTTGGGTTTGAGTCCCTCGCCCACCTCACCCATCCCAGCTCTTTACTGCTCCTACCCCTACTCGGTCTTCTCACCTGCCCAGTCTGTGCAGGCCTCCTTCCTCATTTAACCCTGGTTCTGAAGATCATCCAACACATGGTGGAAATGCACAGAATACCAAGTGCTATGACTAATTTACACAATAATTCCCCCACCATAGGTTAAAACTGTCCTTGTCAGGGTCCATTCCAGGGTTTGAATCACTAAGTAAAAAAAAAAAAGCATGCTTATTTTTTTTTAAAGAGAGAGAGAGAATTTTAATATTTTTTAGTTTTCTGCGGACACAACATCTTTGTTGGTATGTGGTGCTGAGGATCAAACCTGGGCCGCACGCATGCCAGGCGAGTGCGCTACCATTTGAGCCACATCCCCAGCCCTCATGCTTATTTTTTTTTTACAAATCTGAAGTTTCTAATATTAAAAAATGGTCTTATCAGTGACTACAGCATGCACTGCAATAGAATTTGGTTTTAAATAATTTTTTATTGTTATTTAGAAAGATAGGTGTGCTTGGACACTGACACATGGTTGGCACTTGATCAGTATTTGCTGTGTCAAGGTATGAAAATCACAGGCCTGTCCCTCTATCTGGTGCCGCATTTATTCAAAGATTCACATTCTTTCTGTGAGCATGTTATAAACAAAGCCTCAATTTCGGGATCTTTTTTAGGTCCTTGCATTATTTATTTCCTTCTTTTACCTCCTTTTAGATTACTGACTATCTCCATTTGCACTTTTGGGTACAGAATTAGTTTTCGTGACAACCCCCGCCAACACACACAGCATAAGAGAATTCTCCATGTTCCATCCCACAATGGAAATCTGAGATTCTGACTCTACCGAGTGGGAACTGCATATCAGTTTGTCTTCCTTCTCTCCATAGCACATAACTCCACAGAGATTTCTCTGCAAGACATAATAATTACCCATAATTGCAGTGGACACAGCAGTGAGAGAAAGTCTAAATGTTAAACCTATCCTTTAAAAAACAAACAAACAAAAAACAATAGAATGCCATGCACCAGGTCTGTGGTCTGGAGCTATGGAGGAAGTTACCTGGAAAATGTCTTAAAACCAACTCTGAGTTTTAAGTTTTACAATGGCAATGGGCCAATAGTTTGAAAATAAATC